GGACCTCGACATGGCGACTGCCTGGTGCTTGGCGCCCACGTCGCCAGCAGGCGTGGGACTGCTTAGTGCCGAGGAAGCTGACATTTCAGTGCTGCCCGCCAAGTCGCCTAGGGCTGGCATGGAAGGTGGGGGCGGGGCCGTGCTAAGGCCCAGCATGGGGAGAATCAAGGAAGCATCAGGATGCCGGGCTGGGCAGGTGACCTTCTGCACTGAGGAGGGAGGGGGCCTGGTGAGGAGGAGGATCCCGCCCGCACACGTGCTCCCGTGAGCGCGCTCTGAGGCTAAAGGCTTCGCCAGAACAAAGAGCTGGGGGCTGGGCGTCCAGGGCCGAGTGGAGCCGCCTGCCTGGCAGCTGCTGCTGCTGCAGTGACTGCCTATACTCGCCTCCTGCGCACTCTCCCAGGACACACACACACACACACACACACACACACACACACACGCACACACGCACACACATGCACACGTGCTCCTGCACCACGGCCGGCTCACTGCCAGCTCTTCTGACAAAGCCCCGCTCCATGCTCGCTCGCTGCATGATCTCATCTTGGCCCTCCTCGGCTGGCCTGGCCTCCTGACAAGGGAGACAGAGGTAGAGGATGCGGTGCCGGGGGACACACACAGGCATGCACCCACACACAGATAACATGCATGCAGACACAAATAGGCATGTCCATACACACAGCCCTGCACACACACCATGCAGATACACACACAGACACATACACAGGTACACATACATCACAGACATATACACACCGTGCACAAAGACAGCCATGTACATGTACATAGCCACACATGGCATGCACAGATGCACACATGTACACAGCCATGCACATAGACACACAGACACACACAGAGACATGCACATGTACACAAGCACACACCCACATACACAGCCACATACTCCCCCTACACAAACATACATGGCCACACACATACCATACACACAGACGTGCAGAGGGAGAAAGTCTGAGGCCCAGAGAAAGCCAAGAAGGCAGAGAAAGCCATGGGAAGCTAGACATGGACAGGGGCCGGTGCACAGAGACAGACCTACAGACACCCGAGACCAAGGAGGGAAGGAGAGGGGAGCCTTGGGAGGGCAGCTGCACTGGGGAGTCACACAGGCGTGGAAAGGCAGGAGGGTGGACTGGTGGCCCAAGCCGGCTGAAGGGGCTTGGGGGCTGGAGCGAGTTCTGGACCTGCAGAGGCCTCCCTGAGAGTGGGCTGGGCAGGTCGGAGCAGCCATCCCCACACAGGCACAGCGGGACTGTGTCCAGGGCCAGGGTTGCTGCAGGTCATGTACAACCACAGAGCCAAGGGGAGACGGACCGTGGAAACAGGCTTGCTGCTGTAGACGGGGCCTGAGAGAGGCTGGGAGCCACATCAGCTAAGAGACAGACACACGGAAGGCCGGAGGGCCATATGTACTTGGCCCCCAGTATGTGTCAGGTGTTAGCTGGGCCCCTCCCTCACTCCCATGATTAGGGGGGCCCACCGAATCGTCACAGGCAGCCTATGAGGTGGGCAAATCAGCTGTCTTCACAGACGAGGCCACAGCTCGGACAGGTGGCCAAGTGGAGGCACGGCGCTGGTGCCATGTCTGGGACTTGGGGTCCCAGCTCTGCTCCTTATGGCCTCCACCCCTCTTAGGGCCCAGCCTGCCCCTGGCAGGTCCTTCACCCCTCGAATAAAACCAGCAGGTGGAGACTCCCCCCTTAGAATGGCCCCCTTTCCTTTCCAGAAGACGGGCCAAGCAGAGGGTGGCTGGGCTCCCGAGAGCCCGTATGTCCAGAGGGGTGGCCTTCAAAGGCAGTTAGTCATAGATGTGGGCACTGACTCCTAATAAGGAAATTTGAGGATGGACAACCCACAGACACTGCTGTGCCTCAGTGTTCTCAGCTGCAGAATGGGTAGACTGAGAGCTCATCTCCTGGGAGTCTGTGTAGTATCAGAGTGCCACGTGAGTTTATAGATGTGATGCTTTCTGAATTACCAAAAGCTGTGTTTAAGTGGAGGTGCAGATGGAGGAAAGAATAAATCCCTGTTTCAATCGAAGAAGTGATGCTGGAATGCCACTCAGAGGCCCTGCTGGACAACCCTGAGCAGCATGAAGCGCTCTCTCCAATGGAAACAAAGGGCTGCCCAGGCCTGCTGCGATGTAGGCAGAACCCTGGGCCTGCAACCAGGAGGCTGGGAGTTCAGGTTCCAGCTCCATCACTTATGAGCTGGGTGACCTCAGGGAAGTCACAGGACCTCTCTGAGCTTCCATTTCTTCATACATAAATGCAGATAGTACTCCGTGTCTCATAAAGCTGGGCACTGTCACAAAACATATGAGAACACCCAGCCCAGGGCAGCAGGGCAGGGGTTTCAGTGACGCTTTGTGGAGGGGCTGCATGGAGACCTGAGTCTCTCCCGCTCCACTGGGGAGCCGCTGGGCTCCGGGGGCAGTCCACTTTCCAGATCTCCTTCTCTCTCTGTGGCATAGTTTTGCCTCTTCAATATCCCTCTGTCTCCATTCCACTCTTGTCTTCCTGATCCAGTCACCATCCTCCTCACCCCGACCTCCCCCGTGATCTGTCAGCTGGCCACCGACGCCCAGGCCGGCCTCCACCCCCGCGTGCAAGCTGCTCTTTTATAGCCGGAGCCAGCGACACAAAATGAGCGTTTAGCCATGTTCCCATTACTCTCAGGACAAAGATCGTGACCTCCAAGACAGGCCCTGCATGCTTCCCTGCTGACTTCCCCAGCCTCGCCTTTGCCACGCATCCCCTGCCTCTGGGCTCCAGAACCACTGCCCTTCTCTTATTCTGACAAAAAGCCATGCATGCTCCCCTTCCACCTCAACACCTTTGTACAGGCTGTTACTTTACCTGCAAAGACGCTCTTCCTCTTTTTCTTCACTTACTGAAACTTCGGGTCTCGGAGGAGACTGCTACAACCTCAGAGTGGTCTGCCCCCACCAGCAATCCCTTGATACCCTTCACCTTTTTTTCCTTCAAGGCCTTATCGCAGCTTGGGCTCTCCCTCTACACACACCCCTCTAATTATTTGATCAATGTTTTCCTCTCCTCCCAGACTAGGGGTCAGGACATACAGTTAATCACTTGGTTTTATTGTTGTTGTTTCTTGGTGATGGTTGTTATTTTGAGACAGGGTCTTGCTTGCTCTATCACCCAGGCTGGAGTGCAGTGGCTCGATCTTGACTCACTGCAACCTCCACCTCCCAGGCTCAAGTGATCCTCCCATCGCAGCCTCCCAAGCAGCTGGGAACACAGGCATGCACCACCACACCTAGCTAATTTTTTTTTTTTTTTTGTAGAGATGGGGTTTTGTCATGTTACCCAGGCTGGTTTCGAACTCCTGATCTCAAGTGATCTACCTGCCTCAGCCTCCCAAAATGCTGGGATTATAGGTATGAACCACTGCACACAACCAGCCACCCCCATTATTCTTCTATGTACTGTCTACGGCAGTTTTCACAGACCCCATAAAGCCTAAGATACATACTATCTGGCCCTTGATGGAAAAAGCTTGCCGGCCCCTGCTCTGGTCTGTGTCTCAAGGCAAGACCCTTTCTGTCTACTTGCCCTTATAACCTCAGCCTCACCGGTGCCTGCACAGAATGGACACTCAAGAGGTACGTGTCTTTGACAAGTCATTTCTACCTTGTCAACATTGTATTGACTTAAGTCATTATTAAAACTGCACATCCCAACAGGAATAGATGTCTCTTGTGAGATTCCAAGATCATTTTCTGGCAAGCAGTTCAATACAATAGCAATATCCCAACGCAGGAGGGCATGTCAAGGGTTTCAGAGCAGCTATGGGCTAACGAGGCTGCCACACATGTATGTCTGCGGCGTCATCCATGAGTGCAGACTAGAAATGTACATGGAAAGAGGCGCAAACTCGCATGCAAGAGATTGTAAATTGAGCAGATTTATGGAAACTCATTGCGAGATGTCCTTTCAACGTTTTCATGAAGGCTGCATCCATGTACACTCCAAAGAACTGATTGATGAATTCAGTGAAAACATCCGCTTTATTGTCATACAGAGGAAATAACTTTTTTTCTGCTTTTCCAACTGCTTATCCTGACTCCATAAAGAATGTTAACAATATCTAGACACGGTGCTAGGCACTTTATGTATTTCTAGCTCTTATGATGACCCCTGCAAGGCAGGGGTCTCATTATCATTCCTGCCTTCCCAGAGAGATCAGAGAGATCCACTGAAGCTCAGAGACTAACACTTAGCAAGTGACAGGTCTCTCTGGCTTAAAGCTAGCAGGGCGCCTGGGGCCTAAGCAAGGTTATGAGGATGTGGGAAACGTAAAATAAAACTGTGTCTTTAAAGCGCTCAAAGCCCTCCCAGGCAGAATGCTGCTCGGCACTCTCCATGGCCCCGCTTAACACAGGGTCAGGAGACCACAGGTGACAACAAAGTTGCAATAGGACTGCAGGTGAGGACAAAGTTGCCATATGGAACCCTGAGTGTACTGATTGATTTTGTTTGTAATTTTGTGTTTCATTAGAATGCTGTCTCTGAAGTACAGGCCTGGGCTTAAATCCCTGCTCTGCTGCCTTCTAGCTGTGTAGGCTTGGGAAATCTCCTCAGCATCTGTGAGCCTCAGTTTCCTCATCTGTAAAATGGGGAGATCACAGTGCTTATGCCAAAGGGTCACAGTGGTAATGGAGTGAGCTGATGCTGGTCCTGCCTGTAGCTCAGTGTCCACTGCTGGGGTTTGGTGCGCCTCGGGACCCTCTCTGGCCCTGTGGTATCCCCTGAGGTAAGTACCCTCCCTGGGTGGGGCACAGGGACAGCCCCATCTGTGGCTCCTACATCCTGGTGGATGGGTTGCCCTTCCTCAGGGGTTGTCACTACACCTAGACAAATGCAGGCACCAGCCGGCGGGGGCAGCAGACAGGCCTGGTTTAGAGTCAGCTCCCCTCCCCACCCCTCCATGACATCGCGGAGTTCCCCAAGGACACCTACCGGCAGACTTCGGGGTGAACTTGTCTCGGTTCGCGGCACACACAGCCAGCAGTCTGTAGCCGAGGTCTAGGTCGAAGCCTTGCTGGGCTGCCACCCGGCTGACCACCTGACAGCAAGAGGGGAGGAGGGCAGGTGAGTCACAGAGCCCAGAGCTGGTGGATATGCCCATTTTGCAAGTGAAGCGGGAGAGGTGGGCAGAAGAAGGCAGGCCCTCGCCATCAGGCAGAGCCAGGACACCACAGTGCCTTGTTCAGTCACTTAGCAAATACTGATGAACACCTCTTCTGTGCCAGGCCGTGGGATCCTGTCCCTATCCTCAGAGGTTTCCCAGACTGACGATGGGCCTGACCCCAAGCCCATAGCCAAGGACTCAGATTCAACCACATTTTAGAAGTTGGCTGGGGATCCTGCACCACCGTCCTTAGGACGGGCCCAGGCCAGGGTCTCTGCTCTACTGGGTTGCTCTTCCATCGTCCTTCTATGTCCTGGGTCCTCAGGAACTCCCCCACCCCTCACTGACCTCCCACAACCACTGCTGGGAAGGGCTCACTGCCCCTCCTACCCCAGGGCTACCTGTATCACAGAGGGGCCTGTTACAAATGCAGACTCTCAGGCCCAGCCCTGCCCCTGCAAGTCAGCATGCGCCTCATCTAAAGCAGTGATTTAGGCCAGGTGCGGTGGCTCACACCTGTAATCCCAGCACTTTGAGAGGCTGAGGCGGGTGGATCACTTGAGGTCAAGAGTTCAAGACCAGCCTGCGCAAACTTGGTGAAACCCTATCTCTACTAAAAAGACAAAAATTATTTGTATTTTTGGGATTGCAGGCCATGGTGGCGGGTGCCTGTAATCCCAGCTACTCTGGAGGCTGAGGCAGGAGAATCACTTGAACCTGAGATGGAAAGTTGCAGTGAGCTGAGGCCGCGCCACTGCACTCCAGTCTGGGCAAAACAGCAAGACTCCTTCTCAGAAAAAAAAAAAAAAAAAAAAGGCAGCGATTTAGAACAAGCTGCTTCCCACGGGGCTTCAGGTCAAAGTTGCTCAATGGGCTACGGCTTCCTGGATGGGGCGGGTGTCCTAATGCTGCTCTGTGCCAAGCACCTGCGGCCCCTCAACCTTAGCTAGAAACTGCAGGACTCCCACACTCAGCCTGGGGTCTGCCTCTAGCGCCACGCCCCAGCAAACAGGGGGCTTCCATAGCAGCAGTGGCGTGTCTGGAGCCTAAAGGTCTTACCCATCTCCTTATAAATCTCTGAAGTAGCTAGGGACTGGCAGGGTGAGAGGCGAGAGACTGGGAGAACCATCAGTCCCTGGGGGCAGTGTGGGATGGGGCGCTCCAGGGGCTCCTCGGATGGCTCTGCAAGCTCGTGCCCCTGTGGCTTCACTCTGTCCCCACCCATTCCCAGGTGTCCCCCAACTGCCAGGTCTGCTCCCTCACACCCGCCTTCCTCATTAACAGCAGCAAAATTAGCTTTCTTTATTAAGAAGGAAGCATCTTGGAAAAGGGAGTCGTTTTGAAAGCAGCTGGGGTGGCTACAGCTGAATGGGGAGCGCACCCAGACGTGGTAGGCTGGTGCTTCTGAGAAAGCGGGGACTCAGTCGACAAGCCCCCAGGAACCACCTGCTCCAGAGGCGCCTGGAGGGCCCTCAGGCTTCCATGGGGTTTGGCCTTGCCCCTAGATCCAACGGGATTTTTCCCCACTGCCTGCTTTATATCTTAGGGATCTGTGAAAGGGGCTCTGGGGCTAAAAGGGGTGGGAACACCACTTATCTAGGCCAATTTAAAACACAACACTGGAGACTCAATGTCCCCTGCTGAATCAGGGAGGAGCCCATGGGTTTGCCTTCCCAGGACCACCAGTGACTCTTGAAATGGGGCTGTGGCCCTCCCTGCACCCCCCTGTGCAGGGATAATGTTTGAGCCAGGCTGGGAGGAAAAAGGCCGTTGTCAGGTTAGGATGTTTACTCAGCATCTCTGCTGCAAACAAAAGCCCCTGGCACAGAAGTCTTCCACACTCCCTAGGCCTCTTTCGCCTGGGCTCTGTTTACCCTCTGCACATCCCTGTCTCGGGCCACCCCAGAGTAGGGGCATCCTCACTGTACGTCTCACTGTCCACCCAGAAAAATCGAGGTCCCTAACTCTTTCTGGCCTGCTGACTATTTCAAGTCTGTAGGCAGACCCTCCTCGGAAGGCTCTGAGCTGGAGGGGCCGCTGCAGCTCATACATGGACTCTGGTGCCCTCTCTCCTTGTAGGCGAATGTTAGGTGGATGCCTGTGAGCACAGAGCGTCCTGTTTAGACTGGTGCAGTAGTGAGGCTGCTGTCAGTGAGAAACTCTGATGCTGATGAGCGCTGCAGTGAAGATGCTGGCTCCCACCTATGTAAGTGCTTTGTATGCAACAAAGTGCAAATTCTTCTAGCAGCTCCACGAGGCAGGTATTATTATTATTCTTACCTCTGATTTACAGATGAGAAAACAGAGGTTGAACAACAGCTTAAAGCTGGTCAGTGACAGAGCCAGGAATGTGATCCAGGCAGTCTAGCTGAAAAATCTGGTATCTTTCTGTACTGGGACTTCTTTCTCAGTCCACAAAGGGTTAACACCATAACTTCCAACCTGCACTGAGGACCCCTCAGGCCCTGGGTTCAGGAAAGGAAGGCCAAAGTCCCCATGTTTGGCTAATACCGGCTAATCCTGTTGCTCTAGTTAAAAATATCAAAATACGCCTTTAGCTGCCATCTTGCGTCCCCGCGTGTGTGCGCCTAATCTCAGCTGGTCCACCCGCGACCTCTTGAGCACCAACCCTAGTCCCCCGCGCGACCCCTTATCCGCTCCGACAAGATGAAAGAAACAATTATGAACCAGGAAAAACTCGCCAAACTGCAGGCACAAGTGCGCATTGGTGGGAAAGGAACTGCTCGCAGAAAGAAGAAGGTGGTTCATAGAACAGCCACAGCAGGTGATAAAAAACTTCAGTTCTCCTTAAAGAAGTTAGGGGTAAACAATATCTCTGGTATTGAAGAGGTGAATATGTTTACAAACCAAGGAACAGTGATCCACTTTAACAACCCTAAAGTTCGGGCATCTCTGGCAGCGAACACTTTCACCATTACAGGCCATGCTGAGACAAAGCAGCTGACAGAAATGCTACCCAGCATCTGAAACCAGCTTGGGGCAGACAGTCTGACTAGTTTAAGGAGACTGGCTGAAGCTCTGCCCAAACAATCTGTGGATGGAAAAGCACCACTTGCTACTGGAGAGGAGGATGATGATGAAGTTCCAGATCTTGTGGAGAATTTTGATGAGGCTTCCAAGAATGAGGCAAACTGAAGTGAGTCAACTTCTGAAGATAAAACTTGAAGAAGTTACTGGGAGCTGCTATTTTATATTATGACTGCTTTTTAAGAAATTTTTGTTTATGGATCTGATAAAATCTAGATCTCTAATATTTTTAAGCCCAAGCCCCTTGGACACTGCAGCTCTTTTCAGTTTTTTGCTTATACACAATTCATTCTTTGCAGCTAATTAAGCCGAAGAAGCCTGGGAATCAAGTTTGAAACCAAGGTTAATAAAGTTTTTTGCCTAGTAAAAAAAAAAAAAAAAAAAAAAAAAAAATCAAAATACTAGCTAAAGTGAGCTAGAGGGGCCTGGTGCTGCATGGCGGCTGCAAGTCCCCTGTGCCCCAGCATTCAGAAGGGTCACTGGTACCAACAGCCTCCTTTCACTGATGAGGAAGTCAAGGCCCAGAGAGGGCAGGAGCTTGCTCAAGGCCACAGAGCACAGATGTGGCAACGTAAGCGGAACTGAATCCTCTGAGCCTGGACTGCCTCATGCATTGCTAACCCCTGGCTTCCTCTGGCCCAGCCTGAGGACCCCCAGAAAGTCCTGTGAGGCGGGATCTGACTGGCAGTGGTGGTTTCAGCTGTGCAGCTTGTTTTTCAGAGAGGCCTGCTCTCACCCCAGTGGGCATGGTGTTCTCTGTGAAGGTCCTATGGGGTGCAAAGACCCCTCCCCATAAAGGCCAGTGAGAATGGCTGGGGCGCTGCAGCCCTCTGGGGGTTGCCCAGGCCCTGCCACTCGACCCACGGTGGGCGGGGGGGTGGTGCGGGGGGCCACACTCCTGAGGCCACTCTGTCATCCTGGCTGCCTACACCTAGACCCCTGGAGCCAGGGGACCTCACAGGTCAGGGAGCCCAACCTCATGACACAGAAAGGGAAACTAAAGTCCAGACACAAGACGGGCAACTTGGCCAGGTGTGGTGGCTCACACCTGTAATCCCAGCACTCCGGGAGGCTGAGGCAGGACAGCTTGTATCCAGGAGTTCAAGACCAGCCTGGACAACACAGCAAGATCTCATCTGTACACAATTTTTGTTGTTGTTGTCCAGGCTGGAGTGCAGTGGTGTGATCTTGGCTCACTGCAACCTCCGCCTCCCAGGGTCTTGCAATGCTCCTACCTCAGCCACCCGAGTAGCTAGGATTACAGGTACGTGCCACCACACCTAGCTAATTTCCTTTTGTACTTTTAGTAGAGACAGGGTTTCACCATGTTGGCTAGGCTGGTCTTGAACTCCTGACCTCAGGTGTGCTTGGGGTTACAGGGGCGAGCCACTGTGCCAGTCCCATTTGTATAATCAACCTTTTAGTCTGGTGTGATGGTGCAGGCCTGTGGTACCTAGCTAGTTAGGAGGCCAAGGTGGGAGGATCACCTGAACTCAGGAGTTTGATACCATCCTGGCCAACACAGCAAGTCCCCATCTCTAAGAAAAAAATTCTAAAGCTCAGCCTGGCACGGTGGTAGGCGCCTTTAGTCCCAGTTACCTAGGAGGCTGAGGCAGGAGGATCGCCTGGGAAGTCAAGGCTATGGTGAGCTATGATTTTGCCACTGCACTCCAGCCTGAACCACAGAGCAAGACACCGTCTCTAAGATCAAACAAAAAAAATTTTTTTTTTGAGATGGAGTTTCGCTCTTCTTGACCAGACTAGAGTGCAATGGCGCGATCTTGGCTCACCACAACCTCAGCCTCCCAGGTTCAAGAGATTCTCCTGCCTCAGCCTTCCGAGTTGCTGGGATTACAGGCATGTGCTATTAAAAAAAATTTTTAAAAAACAAAAAGAAGACGGGTGGCTTGCTCAAGGTCATGTGGTGAATTACATTAGTTCCACAAAGCAACTGAGTCACCCTGAAAGGCATCCAGACTGCTGGCCGCAAAGCAGGAGGACAGGCTGTCTGGGGAACCGCTGGAGACGGAGTCTTCGTTCCTGGCAGGAGGCGGGACCGAAAGTTCTTTCTGACTCCGACCTCCTCTGAAGCTGTGGGGCTTCCTCATTGGCGAGATGAGGGAGAGGCCTCCTGATGTGAAACCTGCTTCGCTCCAGGACTGCTCTCCCTCCCACCATCTCCTCTGTCTCCCTGTCTGCTGCTATTCCCTAAGCTCAGGGGAGGGAGAGGGTGCCCAGAGGGGCTGCTCTGCCTGGCTACTGGAGGAGGCAGGGCCTGCTTCTGAAGAGGAAGTGGTGACCTGGGCTTGCGTAGGCCCCTGGGGCGGGGCCTGGGGCTCCTGTGCCTCTGCATCCTGAGGTCCCAAGAGGTGAAGCGGAGGGGAGGGCAGGGCTAGGCTGGGGGCACTTTAATTGCGCTTGAGTCGCTTAGAAGGGAGTATGGCAGAAATGTGTCCATTTGCTGCTCATGGCTAAGTGGTTTTTAATTTCTATTCTCAAAGTAAGCTGGATCCAGGAATCTGGAGTTTGCTTCCAGAGGTCACCCAGGGATTGCAGCAAGCTGCAGGGTTCAGGCTGACACCTGGATGGGGAGGGTGCGGTGCGTGTGTCGGGGAGGGGCAGCTGCCTCGCCCCATCTAGGTCCCTTGGGATCTCTGACCTCCCACATCCCGTTCTTCTCCATGGGGCGGGGCTGGGCTGAGGATGCCTTGGGAAGGGAGCACTAACAGGGCCCAGAGGCTTCCAGGGAGCCTGTGGGACCTGCCTGGGACTGGGGTAAGCTGTTCCCCCTCACAGTGGCCTTGTTTGTAAAATGGGAGTGGTGGCTCCTTCCCTGCCCACCTCAAAGGGTCTTTATGAGGATCCAAAGAGACAGTGCCTCGGGAAAATGCCCTGAGCACTTCGGGTGTCGCCCATGACAATCCCCACTACCTTCCACCAAACTCCCTCACGCCATTGGCTCTACTGAGCTCTAAGGGACAGCCAGACTCAGGTCACTGTAACCGTGACCTGGCTGCAGGGGTGGGGGTCATTCCACCAGATGCCTGCCTTACACAGGGGGAAGGGAGCAGAGGTCCAGGAGAGTGGGCACTGTCTACACAGCCTCCCCTGCCTGGGAAGCCATGGTCTCCTCTGTCCAGCCAGGTCCCATGGGACCTTCCCTGGGCTTCCTCTTCCAGGACGCCCTCCATGATCCCTCCATTCTGTTCTCCAAAGATGCTCCCCTTCAGAGCTCCTGCCGCCACACAAATCATGGCCCCTCACTCTCCTGCTAATAATCCTTCAAGGCTCCCCACTGCCCTCCAAATAATGCCCAGATTCTTCTGGCTTGGCCTGTAGGCCTGCATTAGCTACTCTCTGCCTCCTTCCTCTGCCTCATCTCACACCCTTCTCCCTTCTCTGGGCTCCAGCCGCCTGAGCCTTCTTTATGTTCATAAACAGTTCAAGCCTCAGGGCCTTTGCACCAGCAGTTCCCTCTGCCTGGAGCACCCTGCTTTCTCATCCTCCCAAGGAGGTCATCTCCTCAGGAGACAGTTCCTGCCCTGTGCTCTTGCCCCCTCTCCCGGAGCTGTGGCATGTGACCCTGTTTGCGCCTTTGCAGGTTTAATGTCAGGCTCCTCCTGGCGAGCCAGACCCTTGAGAGTGGTCCCTCCAGGGCCCAGCACAGGGCCTGGCTCCCAGCAGAAGCCCAGTGAATGTTCATTGAATGAACGCGGGGACAGGAGGGCCGAGGCGGGGCCAGTTCCTGGTCTACCCAGGCTAGCCAGGGCCACGGTCTGGTTCAGTCTTGAGTCCCCACACCCTAGACAGGGTCAGGCTCGGGGCAGTGTGCTAGAGACCGTGGCAGCCTGGCTGGCCACACATCCTCCACCCTCAGCTGGGGTGGAAGTGAGGGGGCTCTGGCAACATCTGTCCCTGCCCACAGGGCTTAGCCTGGAACCAGATCCCCACAAAGAGGATCAAGGGGGCTGGGGGAGGGAGAGGGGACCCATGGGCTGAAGGACGAGAAAGACTGGGCAGTGCAGGTGGCTGCCCGATTTGGCCCGATGGCCTGAGGGAGCCAGATGGTGCTAGCTTCTGACAAGCAGAGGAGCCCCGGGGGGGTCTTGGCTGCATCCCTGTCTGGCATCCCTAATGGCCAAGGGCATCCCCTCTGGAGGCAGGCAGGCCTCGGCTGGAATCCCAGGCCTGCCTCTAAGGCTGTGTGCCCTTGGGAAGTCAGTTACAAGTCTGTTTCCTCCTCTGTGGAACGGGGAGGGTTATAGGCCAGGCTCACTGAGGGATTTGGTGGGACACCATATTCCATGGGCGGCTCCTTGCCGGGCACAGAACAGACGCTTTGTCACAATGGCCATGTGACCTCTATTTCTTCCTCTCCAGGCCAAGGCCATGTGGGCCTTTGTCTCCTTGCAACTTTTCAGGAAGTCTGGTGCCCGTGTTCCCGCCTGGCTAGGGACCCTCCTGGTCCCTCCTCTCTCAGGCTTGGGATAGGCAAGCTCCCCTGCCATCTGTTTACCTACATTCCCTTCCCAGCAGACTCAGGGCCTTCTGAGCAGCTGCCCTCCCTGGTCACCAAAGTGTCCTCACACTTATGGACATAGGCCACATGGCTGGGGACATTCACAAGCTTTCCAGTGACTTCCATGGTGCCCTGTGGGCTGGCAAACTCCTTAGCCTAGCTGATCACATCATAAACCCTGGGCCTGGCCTCTGTGCAGCTTGCAGCCTCAACCCTTCCGGTTCTTTGGATTCCATTGGGCCTCTGTCCCTTTGCAGGTGCTGTTCCGAGTGCCCAGAGCACTCCTGCTGCCCTCCGCTGCTTGGTGGACTCCTACACGGAGGGTGGCTCCTTTCCTCAGTTTTCTGCACCTTACCCACCACCCAGGCAGTTCAGGATCCCCTTCTCTGTGCTGTCTTCACCGTGCACATGATTTTCTTAGTCACTTCTTTACACATCTGCCTCCTCCACTACGGAGGAAACCAGGCTTGGTGAAGCCTTATTCATCTTCCGTTCCCCCGGACTTGGCAGATCATACATGATCAATGAGAGATCAATCAATGCCGATTTGGCTAGATGGATGGATGTCAGAGGGGCTTAATCAATGCTTACCTGAATGGATGGATGACTACAAAAGAAGTTGCATACATGTTTGCTAAGTGAACGAATGAATGAATGACTGCATAAAAATGGCTGACAACCCTCTAAGAGTCTCTCTATTGTGCTTATGACAGAACAGTGACCCATAAAGTGAGCCTGTGTCTTTCTTACCAAGTGTGGGAACCCACACAATCCCTAGGGACTGTGCCTCCTCATCAGCTCCAGGTCCCCTGGGGGTATGCACTCGGGGGACACACCCAGTAGGGCCATGCCCGCAGCACCAGTGTTTTCCCAGCTCTCTCACTGGTGTCATCCCCCAGCGTGTGACAGCCTGTCCGACACCTGGACAGGCATGCTAGCCCTCGGCCGGCCTTCCTGGTCAGGCGTGTAGGCAGACGGGGTGCAGACTCACCGTCAGACAGCCCATCAGACTCTGTTCGAAGGGCCGCTGGAAGGCCCGTGGGTCTCCACACCAGTCCAGCAGCTCTGTGGCGGCATTGTGGAAGTTGGCAGGATTCTGTAAGTGCTGTGGGAAAGGAAAAGGAGGCGGCTGAGGCTCCAGGAATGAGGCCAGCATGGGCGGCGTGGGGGGATCTGGGGCAGGAAGACCCCAGCCTCACTGGGAAGGAGGTTCACGGAAAGGGGTAAAGGGGTAGTCGGGATCGTTGAGTGTTCTCATGCTCGCTTTCACCCCTGCACTGGACATGCCTGCCCCACCCCTCCCCCAGCCCCGGTGGATTAGTAGTCCCATTGCAAAGACAGGAAAACTGAGGTCTAGAGAAGGCTGATGACGTCAGACAGCACAGTGCTTTCCAGATGCTGGTGGGGGTGGGGGCAGGCAATCCCTGTAGGGGTCTGGGGGTTCTCCCACCCACCCCGGAGCCAGGACAGGCTGGCCCTGGAGATTCCTTCCTGACTACCCCCACCTCCCAGCCCCCACCACCAAAGCCCAGGTCTCGGCTCCCACCAGCTCCAGCTTTGGAGCCTGCTCTGCCATAGCCACATAAGGTGAGGAGTTAGGGGAGGCCACAGCCAGCTGGGAGGGTGAGGAGCACACGTGCCTAGACCGTTGTCACACTAAGGTCTGCTGTGTGTGACTTACTGGGCCCTGCCTGTATCCACTCAGGGCTGCTGGCATGGTTGGGGAGGTCAGCCTGAGCTCAGGCCCCTGCCAGGCAAGAGTCTGAGTCAACGAAGATTAAATTCTGGTGCCACGGTGCCGGGGCCTCCTGGTTCTGCTTCAGGCCCAGGCTGCAGGGCTGGTGGGGTGGGTAAGGTGCAAAGCGGAAGGGTGGTTCCCATGGCCCCCTTCGCTCTTAACCGTCTCCCCAGGCCCTCTGAGTTGGGCACTGAATCCAGGAGACAAATTATGTGGCTAGGGGCAAGGAGCAGATTCGAGGCAAAGGTGAGATTCTGGGATGGGGCTCTTTCCTCATTTGGCTGTAACTGGCACCTTCTGAGGTCCCGTTGCCTTGGTGCTGGGAGAGACAGCAGAACAGGAGCCACACAGGGCAGTCCCTCCATTCCACCTGCAGCGCGAGCCTGCCCCAGGGCCAGGGCAGGGAGGGCCTTAGGAGCTGCAGGGGGCCCAGAATCAGCAGGGGCGCTATGGGAGCCCATACTCCGCCTTCATGCCTATGAACCAGTGACCCAGCATGGTCCCCTCACCTCTCGGAGCCTTAGTAGCCCCATCTGTGAAATGGGGATGACAGAGCATGGCTTGGTGGCGGAGCTTTTATTTCTTTTGCTTAAGGTTCCATGACTGTTGCTACAATGTCGTTCAGGCAAGGCACGATTTTAAAAAATCGGTGGAGGAAAGTGAAATGAAGGAGAATATCCTCCTTCCATGGAAGTAAAGAGAGAGAAAGAGGTGTAGGAGAGAAAAGGACAGGCAAGTCACAACAAAGCCCCCCGTCACAGGGCCACAGTGAGGCTTCAACAAGATGAGGCTTATATGGCCCTTGGCAAAGTGCCTGGCGCATGGGGTGCTCCCACATGGGGCAGCCCTTGGCCCTGACTCTGTCTCCCAAAGGCTCCCCTGGAAGCACAGCTGCACAAGGCCGCTCTCAGACCCAGCTCCTTCTGCAGAGGCGACACTCCCTGCGTCTGACCTGTGCAAGACGGGAGGAACTTCAACATACAGAAATAAGCCCTTTGAGAGGGTGGTGGCGGGTCCTCACCTCTGCCTCCTGTGCCTGTTCTCTAAAGCATGCCCCTCAGAGGCCACAGCTGGTATCTCGGCTCCCCGTGGAAAGCCATGCCAATCGGTTGACTTCTGCCCACCAGCTGCCCTGCTAACTGAGTTGTTCCGTTTATTTCAGTGATGTCACACCCAATTAACAGGTCGGGAGCCACTGCATGCTGCCTCAGAGCTGCCTGCCTCCAGCTGGTCACAGCACCCCACTTTGGGGCTCTGGGTGCATGAGTGGCCTCTGAGGTCAGTCTCAGAAGCCCAGTCTGGTTCTGGCACCTGAGTGCTCAGCCTTCAGTGTCTCACCAGTCTTTGGGACCCTCTGCCCTCACCCCAGACAACTCGCGTGGCCTGTAGGCTGTGGGTACATCTCACTGCTGGAGAAAACATCAGGCATCCCATTTGCTGGCTTTTATCTTTTTTTTTTTTTTTGACAGGGTCTCATTCTGTCACCCAGGCTGGAGTGCAGTGGTGCGATCATAGCTCACTGAAGCTTCAACCTCCTGGGCTCAAGTGATCCTCCCACTTCAGCCTCCCAAGTTGGATTACTGGTGTGCACCACCATGCTTGGCTAATTTTGTTGTTCTTGATTTTTAATAGAGATGAGGTTTTGCTATGTTGCCCAGGCTGGCCTTAAAATTCTAAGCGCAAGCAGTCCTCCCACCACAGCCTCCCAAAGTGCTGGGAAGACCCTGCTGACACTGGTGGGAAGACCCCGCTGGCACTTCGGTGGTAAGACACCGCTGGCACTTCGGTGGGAAGACCCTGCTGGCACTTCGGTGGTAAGACACCGCTGGCACTTCGGTGGGAAGACCCTGCTGGCACTTCAGTGGGAAGGCACTGCTGGCACTTTGGCCTTGGTCAAGCCCCTCCCCTCTCTGTGCCCTTGTCACCTACTTCAACCATGAGGTGACTGAAGTGCACAGAGAGACAAAGTGGTTTGGTGAAATAAAAAGGACAGACATGGTCCAAACCCCGTCTCAGTCGCTGAGCCAAGCAGCCCAGGGGACCTGGCTTCACGTCAGATCCCTCATCTGTGAAATGGGGTGGTGACAGCATTCAGGGCTGCTGCGAAGCTGAGAAGCCACGAGGAACTCATTACAGAGCAGAGCCCAGGTAAAGACTGCTATTGCTATTGAAGCCAGGGCCCGTCCACTGTTCCCTGTTCCTCTTGAGAGCCTCTTGAGGGGAGAAGCAGCCTCCTGGCACAAGGCTGGGCCCCATGGGAAATGACTGAGGAGGAGTTAACTGTCTGAAGGACAGTGTGTCTGCTGTGTAGCCAGCAACGTGGCCACTGCAGAATGGGCCCCAGTGGCACATGGAGGAAGGGGCCAGGGCAGGGCAGAGCAGGACGGAGCTTGGCCAGCCAGATGGACCGGGGATGGGAGCACATGTTTGAATCACAGGCAGAGGCCTCCCTAACTGTGGTTGTTACTGGACACTGGTACCCTGTTCCCCACCAGAAAGCCTGCCCATCTCTATAATTCCTCCAAGGAACTGGGCTATATCCAATGGCCACCGAGTCTGCTGGAGCTGGAGCAGGGCATACCAATGCCTTGAAATGATGAATTCATCTTATCAATCCATCTGTCTACCAGTCCATCTGTGAATCAAATGATTCATTCATTCATCCATCTATGCATGTATCCATCCATCCATCCATCCATCCATCTGTCCATCCAAAATGAATCAATTCATCCAACCGTCTGCTTGCCAACCCACCCATTCATCCATCCACCACTTTATCCACCACTCATCCATCCCTTCATTCATCTACCTATCTACCCATTCATCCAGCAGTTAATTTATCCAGACACCCACCTACCTGTTCATTAATCCATTCATCATCTATACACACCCAGCCATCTAACTGTCTGCCCATATGTCTGTCCATCCGTTCCCTTACATATCCATCTGTCAGTCTCCCCTCTCCTCAGCCCACCCAAAATAGTTGGGCCCCACTCTGAGCTGGACGCTATGCTAGACTCCGTGATTGTGAGATGAACATAGCAGGTTCTCTGCCCCCAAGCCTGGTGGGAGACTTGATGTATTCCTATAGGGCCCATAGCTCTAGGGAGACAGAGGAAGTTAGGTGAGATAGCTGGGTGCCCAGGAAGTGTCCAAGCTCAAGGATGGGGTACAGATGCTCAGAAGGGCTCCTGGGTTCAGGGCAGCTGCTGAGCAGGAATGAGCTGATCTGCAGGGCTCTCAATGTGGGCATGTTGCAGAGAGGGAGCACTGGTCTCCCAGTACCAAGAGGCTGAGAAGGGGCAAAGGCAGCTGAGATAGAGGCTGCAAGGGGACATGGACAGCAAGGTACAGCGGGCAGGGGTTGATGAATGCCAGCAAAGGCTACAACCAAGGTGAGGGCAGGAAGGGAAGGCTGGTGGAGAGGGGAGGGAACCACAACCCCAGCCAGCCCAAAGCCTGCACAGCCAACGCATCCGTCGTCCCAGCGCGTGCAGACATGCTTGCCTTTCTTCTTCTGATTAGGTTATGGGATTCCTGAGAAAACCTAGTCCCCAGCCAGCAAGGCTGCTCTCTAGGGCAGCTGTGAGCAGACAGATGTCAGCATTGAGCTGTGTCTGACGGGAGGTGTGGGAGGAGGGGCATGGAGTATGCAGGGAGCTCTGGATGGCCCAGGGGGCAACTGGGCAGGTTGCTCACACTCACAAATGCGCCACTGTCTGGCTGAAAGGCAGAGCCCTCTGTGTGTGTGCATGTGTGTGCTGGGGCAGGTGGGGAGGGTGGTGCAGGCTCTGGCATGTGCTGGTTGAGTGTGCATTCATTATGATGCCCATTTTATAGATGAAGGGAGGCGAGGCAGCAACTTAAGGCTGCATAGTTTGTAAGTGGCGGAATGGTGAGTGCGCTGTGTGCCATGCTGTGAGGTGCTTCTGGTGGGCCTCTGCCCAAGATGGACCCAGGGAGGGCCAAGGAAGTGAGGTGCACCCTGATCCCTGGTGATATGGAGCTGGGCACCGAGAGGAAAGAGGCTGAGAGCAGGTCTTACCCCTGGAATGCCTGCCACATGGGGGGCCCAGGCACAGGAGACGTGAGCATCCCACTGGGGTCACGGTGACTGCCACTTGAGCCAATGGTGAGAGAAATGGGCTGAAAGGCAGAGCTGAGAGACAGCCCTGCAGAACCCTGAGCAGGAGGGAGGGTGGGGGAGGAGAGAGTCTTGGCGTTTGGTTTCTATTCTGCCACTGTGAGCAGAGGCGCGTAATTGGCGTTTGGAAGAGCCGTTTGGGCTGGGTTCAATCTGTAACAAGTCTTCTTCAATTTCCTCTCTGCAGACCCCACACGGGCTTCAAGATTGCTCTGCTTGATGCTAATGAGAGGACATGCATCCCTCATTCCGGAGGAATAGCCTCAGTTCCACCGGGCAGGCACCTTGGGGAGGCTCCTTCTGGGTCCTGGCCCTCAGGAAGGGAAGGCTGGATGGGGAGGGGCTGTGAGCTCCACCTTGCTGGAGCTGGGGGCCAGCAGCCCATGCTGGTTGCCTGAGCTTCCTGTTAAGCTGGTCCAGGCCAGGGGCCTGAGCCCCAGCACTCCCTTCCCTGTCACTGACATACTGAGGACAATGGCCACCACTGCCATTAGCTGATCACCCACCGCACACCAGGGCTGGGCCAGTGCGTCACCTGCAACATCCTCACAGCATCCTATGAGGTAGGCCCCATTTGACACATGAAGAAACTGAGGCTCAGAGAAATGGAGGACTAGCTTGAGATCCCATTGTGGGTCCATAGAAGAGTAAGGACTTGGGTCAAAGTCATCTGACACCAAAGGCCGTGCCCCTCTGGCTGTACCCCATCCTTCTGGGAGTGCACAACATTCCTGGGACTGTGCAGGGAAGCTGCCAGCTTGGGCTGCTGGAGCTGGGCCCCGCGGGTGGGCGCGTCACTCCTGGCCACCGCTGGGGGGCGCCCCTGTGAAAGGTTCCCCGCCTCCCCACAATTCAAATAGAGGAACTCCTGGGTAGCTCACTTCTTGGGATTGGTATGGGCTTCAGCAGGGTGGGGACGATGGCACTCTCTGGAATGAGGTCTTCCCAGCACCAGAGGGGCTGAGTGGACTCAGGCTATCCCGTCCCCTCTCTGTACTTGTTTCCTTTCCTGTAAAATGATACAATTTCCTTCTCTTGTGGGATTTTCTTTTCTTTTTTAAAAAACAGAAATGAGGTTGCCCAGGCTGGTCTCAAACTCTTGGCTTCAAGCGATCCTCCTCCCTCAGCCTCCCAAAGCGCTGGGATTACAGGCGTGAGCCCCTGGGCCCAGCCGATAATGGGTTCTTATTTTTAAATAAATTAGTAATTTTTTTTTTTTTTTAACTGAGATGGGGTCTTGCTATGTTACCCAGACTGGTCTCAAACTCCTGGGCTCAAGCAATCCTACCTTGGCCTCTCAAAGTCCTGGGATTAAAGGCATGAGCTGCCACACCCAGCCTGAGGCTTTTTTTTTTTTTTTTTTTTTCCTTAAAGAACAACGAGAGCAAAAGAGCAGGGAGCTTAGGTGTGGGAGGAAGGTGGTAAAGGGAGATGGTAGTGCCAGGTGCTTCACTGCATCCTTGTACACAAACAGAGCCCAGAGAGGCCACAACACTGGTCCAAAGTCACACAGCTGGGAAGGCTGTGGGAAGGGAAAGGACAGGGCAGCACTGGAACTAAAACCCAGGAATGTGATTCCAGCATCAGACTGGTCGGTGCCAGCATGCCAACAACGGCCTCACAAGACAGATGGTCAGGAAGCCCCGACGTCCACCCCATCAGGCACCTACCAGATGCCTATGCTCTGCCTGCCCCGTCCGCCCCACCCTCGGAGTGTGCCTCACCCCCACACCCACCTGCTTGATGCACTGCAGTCGGTCATTAGTCTGCTGGATGTGCCTGTCCATAGAATTCATTCTGGCCGTTTCGCTGGGTTCTACCCGAGAGCCATGAACGTTGTCCAGCCTGCGAAGAGAATGCAGAGGGTGTCACTGGATCATGCCAGGCCTGCCAACCTTGCACCAGCCTCCCAACTGCCCTCTGGCCACAGTACTGACAGGTTCAGAGCCCTTTGCTGGGCCCTGTGGGGCCACACCTGGGGTACCCCGCTGGGCTGAGGGCAGGAAGTGCTTCTGGGTGCTTTCCATGTGTGGCACACGTGAGCACTGGGCAGGCATGTCCACCAGGGGGGAAGGAACGGTACAGACAGGTGCACACATTTCTCTCTTTTTTTGTTTTTGAGGCAGAGTTTCACTCTGCCACCAGGCTGGAGTGCACTGGTGCGATCTCGGCTCATTGCAATCTCCGCCTCTCGGGTTCAAGTGATTCTCCTGCCTCAGCATCCTGAGTAGCTGGGATTACAGGTGCCTGCCATCACGCCTGGCTAATTTTTGTACTTTTAGTAGAGATGGGGTTTCACCATGTTGGCCAGGCTGGTCTTGAACTCCTGACCTCAAGTGATCTGCCTGCCTCGGCCTCCCAAAGTGCTGGGATTACAGGTGTGAGTCATTGCGCCCGGCTAGGCACACAGATTTCTGTACGTGCATGTGTGTTTTGGGTGGTGGAAATCCCCCTTGGATTCCTGGTTCAGGGTTTGGTCCGTGTCTGTGTGTGTGTGTGTGTGTGTGTGTGTGTGTTCATACATGTGCAGGGGGACCCTCCCATATGAGGAGCTTCAGTGCACATGTGCTCTGAGTGCACGTCAGGTGGCACCTGCCCTCCCAAATCCCTCAGGCTTTAGAGTTCTTCACAATTTACAAATCACTCACAACTCTTATTTTTTTCACTTTGCCCTCCTGGAAAAGGAGGAGGACGGGAATGAGCACCACACCCATTTTCCAGATAAAGAAACTGAGGGTGAGAGACAGAAAGGGGAAAGGCCAGGGTGGCACCGCGAGTGGTGTCTGAGCCCACACCAGGAGCCAGGGTTCCCGACTGCCAGCCTGTGGTTTCCACTGCACAAGGCTGGCAGTGTGAGTGCAGGGATGTCCTGGCACTAGGCTCTCCCTTCCTGAAGTGCGGGAGAAGGGAGCGCTCAGGGACACTAATGTGAATGGGACTTTCCTTGGATGACAGAGCTAAGTGGAGGAAGCTCCCTCGGCTGGAGAAAGCCCCAGAGTCCCCAGGCTGCTCCAGGGAGGCCACACAGCAGTGGCAACGATCTAGGTAAAAAGAGGCAGGAATGCACAGCCCTAGTTCACCCACTGCCCAGAGGTCCAGGTCCTTGGGCCAAGGCAGAAGTCTGCCTGCTGCCAGCTCGGTTTGCCCTCCCGCCCCCAGTGGACAGTTCAGGCTGCAGAGACCTGGGTCCGACCCAGGGTGCTGGACAGACCTGGGGCCCAGGCCTTCTCTGCTACCCTGCCACACTCCTCACTAACGACGCCTCATCTCTGGCCCCGTCCCTCAGGACTTTTCATGTGCTGGACAGCTGCGTCCTCTCCTTTCTTACCCATTCTGTAAGGCTAGGATCATCTGCATGTTACAGATGAGGAAACTGAGGCTGCCAGATGTACCACATCCCCGCAGCTGGTAGAAGTGTAGGTGTGTCTGTCTCTGTCTGCTTTCTACGCATCCTCACTGAGGGAACCAACACCACTGCCTGGGCCCAGCCTTTAGAAGAAAGTCCTGTTCCTCCTTCAATGGCTTTAAAGGATGTGCAGCTCTTGCTACAATTCTTATTGCTCCGTGTGTGTCTGAAAAGGTCATTTGTTTGCATGGTTCAAAAATCAGAAAGTCCACAAAGGTATCCAGTCTTGGGTCCAGGCCCCATCCCCAGTCCCCCGGTGCCCTTCCTAGGAGAACCAGTGCCATCAGTCCCCCTTCCGGAGAGTCTCATCTAGAAGCAAATATCTACATGCACTATCCCTTGCCACTTTTTTTTTTTTAATTATTTTTTGAGAAGGAATCAAGCTCTGTCAACCAGGCTGGAGTGCAGTGGCGAAATCCTGGCTCACTGCAGCCTCCGCCTCCTGGGTTCAGGTGATTCTCCTGCCTCAGCCTCCTGAGTAGCTGAGATTACAGGAGCACGCCACCACGCCCAGCTAATTTTTGTGTTTTTAGTAGAGACAGGGTTTCACCACGTTGATCAGGCTGGTCTCAAACTCCTGCCCTCGTGATCTGCCCGCCTTGGCCTCCCAAAGTGCTGGGATTACAGGTGTGAGCCACCATGCCAGCCTCTGCCACTTTTTAACAAACATAAAACAATAGCATTCTATACACATTATCTGGACCTTGCTTTTTTCTCCTCTTAATGATACATCTCAAAGTTTATTCCACATCAAGACATAAGGAACCTTTTCATTTCTTAATGGCTGCACAGTATTCCTAGGCATGATGAAGCATTATTCAACTAACATCTGACCAGGTGCTGTTCTAAGGCCTGAGGCCCCAGACAAGGTCCCTCTGCTCAGGGGACTCACACTTCAGCCTGAAACGAGGGACCCTGAAGCTGTTTCCAAATCTTTATCACTGCAGTGCTGCAGGGATAACTTTTCACACTGGCACATCACATGTGTGCGGGTTAGTCTAGAGGACATACGATCAGAAGTGGAGTTGCTGGGTCATCTGGGAATTTGCACGTTTGAGAAGTGCTTTCTGGAGCTCTCCAGCAAGCAAGGAAAAGTGGGGGTTCTGCCCATATTTATTTCTTCCACCCTCACCCTGCCAACGGTCCATTCATCCCACCTGCCACCCATCACACCTGTCACACCTGACGTCCAATTTCTCCACCCATTATTTATCTATCGAAATGCCTGCCTGGGGAAGGAGGAGGGGGTGAGCGAGCACCCACAAAGAAAATTAAAAAAATAAATAAGTAAAAATAATAAACACAAACGCCTACCTCTTCCCGTCCACCCATCCATTGAAACACCTTTAGTCTCCACTTGCTCATCCGTACATGCTTCCACTCTCCCAAGAAATGCTTTGTAATAACGACACTGTGTGAGGTGCTAGGCTAGACGGATTGGGCATGTGGAGATTAGCATGAAATCATTTTCTTGTGTTCAAAGACCTCTTGGTCCAAGCCCATGTTTACCTACTACAGGACTACGTGCTGAGCTCTTCCTAGGAGTCAGGTACTGGTCCAGGCATGGCAGAGAAGAGAAAGTAGTTACATCCCCATTTTACAGATGAAGAAACCGAGGCTTGGAGGTTACAGCTGGTTGGGTTGGAACCAGCTTTAGAATCCTTACTTTCCCTTTACAATTTTCTCTCTTGAACAGGTCCTGGGGAGGAGGGGCCAGGCTATGTATGTATCCATACAGATATGTGTGTACGTGTTTGTGTGTGTGGTCCGGGTTGGCAGAGGCGTGATCGCGGCAGCTCCACTTGCCACTTCTGTAGGTCCCCCAAGCAGGAGCTGAATTTGTCCTCCTGAGTTTACTCCCACAGACTCTCAGCCAGCATCCACATGACAAAGGCCCCTGGGGCCAGGGACAAACCATGGTGGGGAAGACAAGGACACAGAGAGCTCCTGCCCAGAGCAGGAGCAAGACAGTGCCACCTTCAGCAAGGCCATCTCAGTTCCTAATGCCAGGCCCCGTCAGAGCCAAAGGACCCTGGTGGTCTCCCAGGCACCATGCGATACCTAGGCGGTGGTGAAGACCTGGGTCCCAATGGAGAATACAGCTTTCATAACCAGCTAGGACACAGAGACCCTTCCCACAAAGGCCTGGGCTGGCTCAGCTCCTGGCTGGAGGAGATGTTAGGAAAGTACAAGGAAACCTCACGACTGAAGGCCTTCCTCCCCCTGTCCACAGGCTACTGCCCACCAGGACAAAGGGCGATCGGTGGCCCAGGCAGCCAGCAGGGGCCGCTGTAGACAAACCTAAGTGCACTGGGGGCCAGACCTGGGCACTGTGGAGGTGCCAGGTGTGTTCCCAGCCCTTCATCCTCTCTCCCTCCGATGAGCACCGAGGTGTCCCCAGCCAGGATGGGCTTTGAGTGGGCTTCTCTGGTTTCCTGGCCTTGGTTTCCCCATCTGCAGAACAGGATGCTGCATAGGGGCAACTCAGTGACCTTATAAGGGTCTATCTCTGAAGAGGAGTGTTCCCCTAACATTGTGTCCAGGGGCTGAGCCCTTGGGTCTTGGTAAATGCTTGTTGAATGACAGTGCCCGGAGCCCCAGGCAGGCATAGGTGCTTAGATCCACCCAGCTGGACGGAAAGATTCTGGGAATATTAAGGGCCTGAAATATTCTGGGAATATTTCAGGTCCCCTATCTCTACTCCTCTGCTCAGCTGGTTTTATTCTGAGAAGCCTGGGGCCCATCAGTGGTTTGTTCAAGGCCACAGGGCACTGGGCACTTGAACCTGGGAGGTGGAGGTTTCAGTGAGCTGAAATCATGCCACTACACTCCAGTCTGGGCCACAGAGTGAGACTGTCTCAAAAATCAATCAATAAATAAAAGAACTGATTACAGAGGCCCCTACAGGTGAGGTGACATTTTTAAAATATTGAGGTCAGTGATGCAAGACTGGGGTTACTAACCCCAGGAATGGAGGAGACTGGGGGCTCTAGTCTCCGCAGTAAAGGGGTCAAAGGTCTAGAGGGCAAGGGGTCCCAGGCATAAAGAGAGGAAGGGTGGGTTGAGGGAGGTGTGCAAGAGACAGCTTGTTGAGGGGCAGGCTCGGACCCTCCATTTGCTCTATACCTGCCATGTTCAGGCACCAGGCCAGGCCCTGTGCAGTGCTGATTTTCTTCATCCTTAAAAGGCTCAGAGAGGTGAAGCAAATTGCCCGAGGTGACACAGTCAGAAAGCTGCTGGGCAGAGATTCCGCCTTTCCAACTGTTAATGTGCTGTTCTTTCCACTCCCCATGACTGGCGGTCAGGACCTCCTGGTAGTTCTCCGCCTCGGGCTGTGACTGGGCCCAAAGAGATGCCCTCCTTATTCCACCCAATCTGCCCAAATCCAGTCACCTGCGCCACTGGGCTCCCGACACACTGGCCGGCTTTGGGAGGTGGC